GATCCAGAGATCATGAAGTAAGGCAGATGTCATGCTCATCTACATGAGACATCCTTTACGTTACTCTGTCAAGGGAAAGTAGCCAAGAGAATGGCACCAGTGTTGCTTTAGTAACACCACACTTTCTGTTCTCTAAATGTCATTTGGCACAGGGCAAGGATTTTGAGCATAGATAATAGGCTAGTTTTGCCACATGCCTTAATCTGAAAAGTCCATGCGAATTTTTGACTGCAATTGCATACAGTATAACCATTCTGATAGTAAAGCTGTAATAAAGCTTTTCTACTAGCATGAAATATGTCCATTTTCAGTAATAAATGCAGTGTTGGAGGTGGAAGGAGACAGAGAACAAAGAATCAGTTTCATCTTTTCCTGATATCTTTTTATTTTATAAAATATTACACACAGGAGTTACACAGGTTGAGACAAAGTAGAATGTACATCTCTGCTTGGATGTCATTCAGAATGATCATACATGAAATGTGTATCAGAATAATCACAGAATAATAGGTATACATAGCCTTGGAGATGTGAGATCAGACTACTGGATTTAGTCCCCAACATGTTTCAGAGCTAATTCTGTTAAACCAATTTTGCAGCATGTTGCAGGCAGTATCCAATAATGATAGGAATTTATTGTTTAAAATGTACTTTAAATGCAGCCATTAACTATATTCGTGGAAACAGCAGTGGATCTCTGTGTCGTCCGGTTGATGAGATTGTCATCACTTGTCATCTAGGACAAAGCTTTATATATGCTACAAATGCTCTACACTTGCAGAGGGAATGGTTACATCAAATGTGCTGTGAATCCACTTCTCTTTGAGATTTTCATCCAGTGCCAGTGACTGCAGGACTCCCTTTGCCATCAATGCAAATGGGAACTGAATTTTCAAAAATGCGTATTTTTGGCTCACTCACTTTCTCTGTGTGAGCACGTAAACGCAAACTACAGACTATAAAATAGTTTCACTTCCAAACAGGTTTATGAATAACAAACTTTGCTTTCCTCTTCTACCCTCTGACAGTCCCACTGTTTACTCTCATTCAAAACAGCTTGGGTTATGTCATTGTTATCCAGAAGAGCATATAAATCTCTTGACTAGCACTTTGTATAACATTTACACTTACAGAAGCAGAACTCTTAAGCAAAAGGAAGGGGGGGGGGAAAGCTGTGAAAGAAGGCAAATTCTGAAAACAATTCAATTTTCAGCTTTCAGCAAGGTGAAAAACATACAGCAGGAGGAAACTCTCAGGATAAAATCCAGCCATACACCAAGGCAACAGAAGATCTATCTACCATTTAATCCTCAAAGGAGAGGACCATTTAGGATCACAACACAGGAGCAGTTATCATCTTTCGAGTGCGTGTTACAGAGAGCTGCTCTGTGAGATGGTCCTGAAATGATCTCTTTTCTCATGTAACATGGGAACCCTTTTCCATCCCTAGCTACAGTCACTAAGTACTGCACATCTCAATGCAGGCTTACAAGGCACAGTCTGGAACGCTGGACAAGGAAAGCCAGATCTTCCACTCTTTAGTAACTACAGACAACAGGTCAGGGCCTCCACTGCCATCACCACGAGGAAGCTTTGGGCAGGAAAGCGCAATGAAAAGGGCTACTCGTCCAAGTCTGTGGGAACCTCGTGCCCACAGAGGAAACAAGGGAAACTTCATAACATGTCCCATTATGGGTATTCAACAGCAGAAGCTGCATCCAGCGTTTAAAGAACAAGGAAACTGTGATCAGGGTTCAAAGCTCTCTAGCTGGGGGAGATGAAGAGCAAGTGACTGCACCGAACAGTGGGATCTTAGAAGGCAGAAATGCAACCTGGCCTCCAGGCTTTAAAAGGGTTTGTTTGCTCAGATTAGCATGTGACATAGGTTCTGCACAAATCTGTTATTGAGACTGTCAGCATAACTTCTCAGATTGGGAGAAGGTGCTGGTTTCCTAGGAGTACTTATGCTGGACCCACACTACTGTTTAACACACAAGACCTGAGCCTGTCCTCTCTAAAGAGAGTGAATGACAAAATCCTGCCTCCCTGAGCACTGCAAGGCTCTCCAATTTACAAGAGAGACGAGGCACTGTGGCAAGTGCAATAGAGACATGCAGGCGGAGAAAGTCCCTGCTCCAAGGCCATTCGGGTCTAACTTGGTAAAACAGGCAAAAAGTGGAAGGCAGGAAGCAGTAGCCTCTTTTAGCCATGGGAAAACGGAATTGCACAAAGATGATGTGACTTGTGTACAGTCACTCAAAAAGTGGGTGGCAGATGAAACAAAACTAACGTAAAGCCTTACAGTTATAAGTGCACCCTTGTTTACAGTGATGAAGATGAAGCATCCCCTTGGCCAAACGCCTGGGGTTCAGCTCAGCAGCGGAGCCCTCCTGCCCCTGGCAGCCGCTATGGGCACATCTGCCTGATCTGGGACAGTGCTCCCAGCCACAACAGTGCACGTGCAAGAACGTGAAAAGCATGATTTCTTAGGTAGGACATAGTTTGGCATCGGCACGCCCCAATGGCTTTTGGATCAGTGTTCATTCACATGCGTTGAGAAAGGACAGGGCAGCCCGTGACTGTCTGCAGAAAACCCCAACCCCAGGGTCTCTGTTCCTCATTCCTTCTACTGTACTGCAGGGATGACAGTACATCTTTACCAGGTAGGTGAAAAAATGTAACATGCTGAAGGTGTTCACGAAGTGGTAACAGGAGTTGTGTAAGGAGCTGCAATAATTATTTTATTTGAATAGGGAATGTTGGGGTTCTTTGACTTTGTTTTTTTTTAGCATCCAGACTTCTGTAAGGAGTTCTGTAATGGAAGGAACTTCTAAATGAGTAAGACAGCACTGGTCATTTTGTGCTCAATGTGCAGATATCCAAACATTTTCAGCCTGTCAATGTTTTACAGCACAAGTAGGGCTTCCTCTCGTTCGTCCCACTATTTGGTTAATTGCAAGCTCCTTGGTTTGAGTGAAATAGACGCCAGTGGTCTGAAAACAGTAAACTGCGTTCTTGTGGCCACAACCAAAATGCATGACTGATCGTTATTTTAAAAAACCATAAGGTTACGACATGTAGAAGAGATTAACTGACACTACAGAAAAACATAGCAGAGAGTGCATGTTTTCCAGTTTTGTTCTTCATAATGGTTTGCATAGCTTTTCAAATTTACCTTCCAAAAACCAAGACTATTCCTGATAGCCTTATAAACGGCCACTGTCTGCTGCTGTTTCTTGGATGAGCACAACCAGTGTGTCAAAATGACAAAAGCCACATGGACCACTCACTTGCTAGAGCTTCTATTCTATGAGAATAATAAACATCTCAGACTCTGACTCTACTTCATATTAGTGATGAGACTCTGGGTCTACTCTTCTTCTCTGCCCAAGGAACCAAAAGGTAAAATCTGTCCTCCAAGGAAACCATTTTACTCAGGCAGTGAAGTATCCATAATGATTTAGAGAACTCTTAGCATAAGAGAGGCAACAGCCGGTGTCTGCAAGTGGGTTGTGGACCACCTGTAACCAAGGCAGTGTTATCTTTGCCCTGTGTTTGTTGCAGTCTGCAACACTTAACTGTGTTAGGTGTGGACTCCCATTCTTGTCCATGCTCCTCTAACTGGCATGTTAACTCTGAAGGCCACTGATAACACGCATCAACCTTAATTGCTTTCATGATATAGCACAAGAAAGGCTCGTCAATGAATGCTGCAACAGGACATTCAGGGCCTACGACCTGTTGTTAGGAAATAACAAAAGGATGCGAGACAGAAATAGAACAGAGAAAGGAGAAAAATGAAGAACAGGACCTGCCATGCTCTCCAAAAAGAAAGCATATTTTCTCACTAACTGATATGTCTCTGGGTGTGACAACCAACCAGTTGTGGCTCATGCTTTACACATTTGTGCAGGTTTTGACCACAGAAGCTGCGTTTTACCTAGCTCTTGGTGCAGGGAGAACTGTACTGCAGTCAGAGGCAACTAACTAAGCCTGCCCAGATACATGGGTCCAGGGACCAGACCCTCAAGCTGAATTTCTCCCTTAGCAAAGGGGAGGCAGGGAAATTTATGGCTGTTATGCTTGAGATAAACTTTTGGGTGAGACCTTGGCAAAAATCAAACAAGTTACCTGTGAACCTCACTGTGGGCAACTCTCTTTTGGAAATATAAGGCTTTGCGCTTTGTTGGATTTTGCTCATTTCTGTAACATGTTATACTGGCCACTGCTGGTGGTCCTGTACGCTCTTGTTTTTTTCTGTTAGTCATATTCACAAGTGCCAAAGAGAAGGAGGAAGTCAAAAGGGAAAAGCAAGTGGCCTACATCCTTTTTTATAAAAGGAAATGAGTATGCAAAATTAAAATAGTAAAAAAAAAAAAAAATCCAAAAAAGGCTTGTCTTCTGTGATTTTTTTTTCTAAGATGATGGTTGAAAACATATGAGGAAGGGCAAAAGCCAAGTGCATAAATGCAAAAGTACATGGAGAAAAGTGTTAGGAAGGGGAGCGCAGATAGCAAAATGTTGGTTTGCTTTGCTGGGAGAACTGTTTGCGTCTGGAAATTCCAAATATGGGTACTGAGTTAGCAAGACCAGGATCATCTCTAACCTGATGGAGCCCAGGTTTTGTGACTGGAAATTAGTCCTACAGTACGGAAGGCACAGTCCACTTTAGGGAGACACACTTTAAACTTCTGGCTTGACAGAGGAAGAAGTTGTTTCTGCTCTCCCTACAGCACTCTTCCTTTAACATAGCCATGGCTCACAGACACCCCTTCAAGTGCAGAAAGTTTATTCCCTTTCCTTTTGGCAGATTAAGCATGTTGGGCCCAGCTCTACAGTAGGAGCTCCTCGTGCAGAGCTGCAGCTCGGGAGTTCGCTCCGCCACAGGTCGAATTGCATCAGATCGCAGGGGTCGACTCACACTGCTCACGCTGACGGCCGCTCACGCGGCATCGCCGGGGCAGGGGACGCCGGAGAAAGGGCGCTCGGGAGTGCCCCCCTCAGACCTGCGCAGCAGCCACCGCCCTCTCATACATGCGCTCCAAGATGCGGTGGATGCTGGCAAAGCCCGGCCGGTCGGAGGGCAGCTTGCTCCAGCACAGGCGCATCAGGTTGTAGAGCTCCAAGGGGCAGTTGTCAGGGCAGGAGAGGACGTTGCCATCCCTCACGTAGTAGATGACCTCCTCGTGAGCCATGCCATAATAGGGCTGCATGCCGTAGGAGAAGATCTCCCACAGCACCACCCCGTAGGCCCACACGTCGGACTCCGTGGTGTAACGGTTGTAGAAAATGGACTCGGGGGGCATCCAGCGGATGGGAATGGCATCATTCTCATTCGCCTTGTAATAGTCTGCCGAATACATGTTCCTCGAGAGACCGAAATCGGCAATTTTGACTACCATGTTCTCTCCCACTAAGCAATTCCTGGTGGCCAAATCCCGGTGCACAAACTTGCGCTCAGAGAGGTAGGCCATGCCGGCAGCCACCTGCTTGGCAATGCAGAGCTGGCTGGTGCAGCACAGGGCCAAGGGGTTGGAGAGACGGAGCCGCGTGTCCAGGCTGCCGTGCACCAGGCTGCAGAGGTTGCGTGGGGAGCGGTCACGCAGGTATTCGTTAAGATCCCCGTAGGCCATATATTCAAATAGGAGGCACATTGGTTTCCCAACAGCACACACACCTGAAAGAAAACAGATGCACCACACAGGACTTTTGAGGAGCAAAGAAGATTCTCAAAAAAAACCCCAAAATCTTACACTAAGGGGAGTTTTTCAAGGAATGCATGTGGGGGCAGAGGGAAAGGTGAGGCATGCAAACACCTTTAACTTCCGTTAGGTCCCTTCGTGCCTTTGAAACTCCCTCAGCCAGTGACCCAATGCTGAGCTCTGTATGAGATGATAATCAAGTCATGCAGCTACATGGTTTGTCTGGACATCCAAAGAGGAGGATACAGAATTGGAGCTGTGTCTAATCAAGAGCCCAGTCCTGGTTACACTGGCATTAACAGGAGTTTCACCTTTTCCCAGATGCAACTGGAAGGGCATGCTTTCAAGAAGCAATCTCTTCAGTCCTGGCTACTGTATTTTTAATGGTTTTGTTATTGTAACTTTTGCATTTATACTACTGTGGGGTGTAGGAGCTACACATATACAGGTAAACCTCAGGGATGATCAGGAAAGAAAATTTTCAGGCACATGTTCAAGAGTTCAATGGTATACTTGAAAAACAGAAAAACAAAGACACTCCTACCCCAAATTCTTCTGTGTTTTTGAAAACAGCATATACAAAAGATGTGGTCTGCAGAAATTACTCTTTGTATAACAGATGCTCAAAAACAAAAAAGAAAGAAAGAAAGAAAGACAAAAAAAAAACCCAGGCATCAGAAAGGAGAGATTTTTTCCGTGCGACAGGTGCAGAACACAAGTCCCACCAGTGGGCACGTGCTGGCTGATCCTTGTCCCTGCACCACCTTTACCGAGGGTCTGCATCAGCACAAGGCTCCACTCTCACCATGCAGTAGGATTGCTGTGACTCAACTATAGCTGATGAGAGTGTGTTAGTCTGTAGGAAAGTGTTTGGCTTGCTTTTTTTCGAAGTTTTCTAATGACTTACTCATGCATTTCAGACCAGAACCACCAACTGGATGCACGTAATAAACATACCTTATATGACAACGTTGGGACAGAAGAGCCTCTTTTCGCTGCATTAAGTTTTTGGGTATGTGAACAATCACCAACTGAATACATACATTTCCAAACCCAAATTTTAACCAGTTGTAGTAAGCATACAGTGATATTAAACCAGTGTTAGAGGCAAAAATACTATGTCATCAGCATGCCTATTACTAACTTGCCTAGTACCAAAAGCCAGCCTTTAAAGTATATGTGTTTTATTTTCTCAGGGCCATCATTTACCAGTTGGTCATCCAACTTGTTGTGAAACACAGAATTCTTGTTGATGGTCTACCAGTCAAATCTTTGAGAAAAAACAGACAGCTGTTCCCAGTGTGAAAACATCAAGTCCTGACAAGCATGAGGAGCGTATGCAAAAGCTTATCGTCTAGGCTGTGTTCAACAACATGGCTATATCCCCACACGCCCAAAATATGAAACTAGTTTATTCCTGTCCCTTTGCCCTTTCCTGATTTAAAATGGGTTGACAATAAACAGGATGTTTATTCCAGTTTGGGGTATTTCTTGCTTTTCTTTTCTGTTGCTGAAGAACTTGTATTAACCCAGCTTTCCCAAAACAGGGATTTATATATTTCCAAACTTTGTGGAGCTTCCTACTGAAATGAATGAAGACCTCAATTGCTTGTTCACAAGGATCAGATATGTCTACAACAACTTACAGCAGGATTGCTAGGTGAAGATGGCTAACGACATCCACTTCAGTTAGAAACTGAAAATCTACTGAAATAAAACCTGGTAGGCAACTTTCTTAGCAGAAGAATGACCTACTAGCACAGCTACGGAGTCAAGAGTTTCTAAAAAGCCCAATAAACCAGGGTTTCCTTTCAGTTGGAAAGGGAGGGGAAGGAAGAGGCTGTTTTTGTGGTTGGAGTTTTATTTTTTGTTTGTGTCGTTATGTTTCTTTATTGCTGGTGAGTGTTCAGACATCACAATAGTAAGCGGGACCCATGAAACTAACAGGACTTGTCCCTGTTTTTTTAAATGCCCACAAGATAAATCACAGCTCCAGCAAGCTTGTGTGTTCCCCATAAGACATTTGTGCCAGTGCTATTAAACTGGAAGCAGAGCTACGCAGCAGTATGGTCAGGGGCATATCCTGACACAAGGTAAAGAGGGTTTATTAAAACACCCCTTTCTGTTAAGGTAATAGGATCAAATCTACATTTTGAGACTTGTGCCAGTAGAGATTTCAACAGAGCCACAGAGCATGCAGTGACGCATAGAAAAGTTTGTCTCTTTTGCAAAAGGCATTTTTTCTTGTCAAAGAGACAAGCATTGCCTTTTGCATTAAGCATTAGTCATGCGTATGCGTTCACCCCTGCACCCTAAAAAGAAGCTTCAGTGGATTCATAGAGGACAATATCCCATAGTAGGACGTCTTTTCCAGATACCTAAAAGTTTGACAATATTCGGATTGTCAAATTCTGCCATGAGGGCTGCCTCCCTCTGAAAGTCAGCTTGCATGTCCGCAGACGCTTCTTCCTTTAGCATTTTCACAGCCACCATTGTGAAAGGCTCATAAGGCAGCAGTCCCGGAGCCCTAGTGAAAAAAAGGAAAGATATCGGTGCGCGATGCGTGCAAACAAGATGTTTTCTGTTTGTGTTGAAAATCATAGGCTGACAGGGAAAAAAGTTGGAAGTCCTCAGCATTAACTGAAGGAATAGGAAAGACCAACCTCCTTTCTTCGGCCTGTCTACAGTGCACAGTGCAGACATATTTAACTTAGTTCAGGGAGAACTAAATCTAGCATAGCTGTTTCTAATTACTGCTTTTTCTGTTTAGAGGCTTTTTACCAAGACTGGCTACAAACAGGCCTAGATAAATAACTGCAAGCCTGGGTTGGAGGACACACCAGAAACTTGGCGGAGAGCAGCATGGACAATATTGAGTCAAATCAGCTATGTTATTCACTTTTGGGGTGTAATGATGAAGCCTACTGAGAGTCAAAAATAAATACATTTTGTATGAAAATGTTGAAATAAAGAGCCATCTTTCACTGGATCTTGTCTTCCACCTGGCACAATGGTGACACTGGTACATCTAGCTACATATAGCAAATATATGCCCCCTGGTTTTACAAGGAAAATGCCTTATGCAGTTGTTCTTTGTGTGTCTGTGTTTGTGTGTGTCTGTACTCTAACGATTTTTGAACCAATTAGATAATTTCAGCTGAGTTTAACAGGGTGGGGCAGCTGGGAAACAGCTATGTTCCTGCAAGTTTTGTGGGAACAGGTGGCTGGACAGAAGAGACAAACCACATATGCGTCCTCTCTGAAGATCAGCCCAGTGCATGAATGCCGGTGAATCTTTGCTTAGAGCTTAGCTATCTCCTGACTCAAATCCATAGGAAATGGAGCTTCCTGACTTAGAGCAATCACAGACTCATTTTGCTTTGTTATCCAAAGGTCACTCTGGCCTAAACACATTTAATTAATTAGACAGACTTGCCAAAGATTTAGGGATAGCTCTTCCCAGAGCACAGTAACTTTCCAGGCTGCAAACATGCATCAGACCTCTGAGAAGCATTTTTGTTGCCCAGTCAAGCTCTTCTCAGGGGTCCTGCAGAAGCCATGCCCTTGCAGTTAAAACACGCTCCTTACAGGTAACCTTCCAAAGGCCACAGAAAGTGGCACCTATTTAAGTTTCATGTTACTACACTGGCCTGACTGCCTTCCCTTTGCTTAAATGCCAGGATATTTTACTGTTCAGTAGCCCCAAGAGGAGGTTCCGATTTCCAAAGCAAACTTCCAGTTTCCTTGTCGTCTACTCCAGACATATGGCAGTTGCAACAGATGCACTTGGATACTATAAATGTCAAATGTCAGAAGATGGCAGGATGCCCATCTGGAAAGGAATCTCACAGGCAGCCAGATTGCTGCCGAGGCATTCGGGTGAGGAGGTCCAGCATATGGGAGCAGAGGAACAGACTCCGCATTTATTTGCTAGTGCCTCCATTAAAGCAAAATGTCTTTCTGTTTTTCCCCTCTGCTGGGAGTGAGTTTCCATTCTAGTAAGAGGGGAAAAGCCTCCTCATGTATCAGCTGCTGCTAAATCTCAGTGCTTGAGAAAGTCAGCGACAATACTCTGAAGCACCCAGCAGAGCATTTAAAAATGGAAAGAGGAGGACATTTATCTCTTCCATGCAGTCTCATTGTAGATTACAACTCATCACTGGCTAGCAGAGTTAGTGCCGTGCCAAAACAAGGAGCTGGCACAGCTTTATACGGCGTGCTTTGGAGACAGAAACCCATCCTAGGCCAAAGCTTGAAGTACATCCATCCATCTGTCCATCACTGAAATCCTGTAGTGTGAAGTAACCTAAGTGGAACTTAAATAAGTTGCACACGGCTTTTTGTTGGGCCTTAGACAATGGTGAGTAATTTTACCCGCAAGAACCGATATCCCAGCTTCAATCCAGTTCTTAGCAGATGTGGGAAAATCACACTGAACTGGAACAGAGAGCGCCTTTGTTAGCAGTCTTGGCAGAGAGCTGTTGAAGTTGAGCCCTTTGGTGCCCAAAAGACAGTCTTTGCAGAATGTGATAGAGACACATTTGCAGGGGAGTAAGGCAAAGCTGCTACAGCTGAAATTAAACAGAATTCCTGCTCCAGGCCAGAATATGGAGTATTTATTGTAGACAATAGATAATTTTCTTCTAGAATTAAGCAACATCAACAGAAATGGCATTAGGTTTCCTCTCTACTGATTTCCTAAATGCTTAGGCAAAATACTCCTACTGTTTTTGCATAACGCTAGACGGGACAGAAGACCTGTTCATGCCTTCTTCCCCATTGATAGATTTGTGCAGCGCTGACAGCATTTGGCTTTTAGGTTCCTCAGGTCAAGGAACTAACCAGTGGCGCAAATAGAGATTTAAGCCCCCAATCTATCAACAAAAGAGTGCCTGACTTTCAATTTCTGGTTAGACTTTCTTTCCAGAGCAGTTAACTGCAAAAGATTGAGGAGCAGCATGAATATGCATTTTAGATTTTGTTCTGTCTCCCGTATTCCTTAGCATCCATGCTGGGCAGCTTCTGTTAGACTGTTAAAGGATGTAGTTAGCATCTATTGAGGCTGATAGAGACCTACTCTTACCCTCTCCCTTGGAGAAAACTGCATATGCAGGAAAGTATTCTGCACTAGCAGGGGATTTGAATGCGGTATTTTTTTAAAATAAACTTCCACACTGTTTTTCAGCTATATTTGAGACAGCAAGTCAAAGAAACACCCTTTGCACTTGAAAAGAAAATGAAGAAATCTATGGTGGAAAAACTCCTGCCACCCTAACCTTTGACTGTCTTTCCACGACCCTCGTCAGGCCCTAGGGACAGCCTTGTCTCTCATGTGGACAACGAGCTGTGAGTTTGCAAAGTGGTCCCAGCAGGCCTGTGGAGCTGAACTGCTGACAAAGACCTCATGTCCAAGGTTTCAGACAGTCTTGGCTTCAGTCTTGGGCTAGATCACACAGATCCAGCTCTGGGAGAAATCTGCTTGTTGATCTGCACAGGGCTTGAAAGCTACTTATTGTGCGCTGACGGTGTATGAGGGTAAATGCAATATGCCCCTTAGCAGAAGACGTTGAACTGGTGACCACAACCCAATTGGGACTGACTTGAGCCAGGTCCCTAATCTTGTTTCAAAGACATCTGTTAAGGTAACCGGTTACTTCCTCATCCCGTCCAGTGGGAATTAGTTCTTAGTGAAAATGGCAGCCTTTCAGAAGTAGCTAGTAAATAATAGCCAGTCACTTCCTGTCCTAACATGTTGCTTGACCCAGGAGTAAGTAAACACTGAATCAGGATTCAAAGCAAGCCAACTGGCAAAGCATTACTGGCACTATGTGCAGAGCTATGTTTACAGGGATGAAACATTAAACCAGGAGAAGTAAGAGGATTGCTAAACTTAGTCTGAGATGTCCATTTAACACACGTAGACAAGTACATTTTATCCATCTGAGGTGAGAAGGCAACAATTTAAGTTGTGATAGCTCCAGTAACCTGGAGGGATGCACAACTGATGCTACTGGATTATTAGCAGTCTCTTCTGATGTGTCAGCTGCGTACAGAAATGCTAGTGGCTTAACTTTTCCCTGGAAATAAGATATTTCAGAAGCGCTTTTGATTGAGATATTGATAACAATAAAGAAGCTCCTCAGAAGGAATGCTGCCATAGCAGCTTCCATAAGCCACAGAGAACACATGATCTCAAAGTATAGTACGCACCAGTGTGCAAAAGCTGGCTAGTAAGATTGCTTTTTTCTGCTTTTTCTCCAAGTTTCAATTAACAACACGAAAAATTGTTATTTAGAAGGAATAGCAGAATTGCGGCAGGTTAAACCCACATGAAAGGTCCCTACACCACTTTAATACTTGCTTAACCCGAAGCTTTAATGATGTTTGAATAGCCTGTGAGAGGTTCTGTTCAGTATGGGTGAGAGTCATTACAGTCATTTCCATACAGAGGCCAGTTCAGAAAGGTCTATGCAGCACCTCCATTCTATTTAAATTCCTGATGCAGCACTGAAATAGCAGTTGGCATAAAGACTGTGTGTCTTGCTTGCAGCTTCTGCAGTGTGGTTAAGATACCCATAGTGACAGAGAGAAGCTAACATCCATCAGGGTGTACCAAATGCCCTCTCTGGATCTTAGTCAGACAACTGGGATGAAGGCTGTTTTGCATACCTGAGGTGGCTCACATACAGTGTCCAGAGCACAGCTGTGATACAGTACCAGCATGCTTTGTTCTTGATTCAAGTTCAAATGCATTCAACTTAGCCATCCAAGTTAACAATCAATCACAGGCTAAGCATCTGTGATTTTCCCACTGTGTGCCCTTTAAACTTTGTTATTTTTAGCTCTCTCCATATTAAAGAAAAGTATGCCTGCATTTCTTTCACATCCTTTCATTAAAAAAAAAATCTGTCACATCTGTTGAAATTGTTCCCCCCCTCCAACAGATTTAACCTGTGTATAATTCACTTCCTAACAGATATGTCAACAGTTTAACTATAAACATTGAAAGTATCTGCTCTGGTGATTGCTCCTTGCAAGCAGAGTCCTTTGACTTTGAAGTCAATAGGAGCTGTTCCACCAAGCAGGTCCTGGCCCGTGTTAGGACTCTGATAGTTCCCTGTATTTCTCTGCCATCACACACTACTCCAGATATGGTGAAAAAATCAGCCATGCTGCGTTCTGGCTGCATCGCAGGCTCATCAGTTGTGAAAAGACAAAGAAAAGACAACCCAGCCTAAGCAAAAACTTAATTGTACAGCCTGTCCACCTTTCTTCAGTAATTTTGGGATGGGATTTTCCAGGAACGCCAGTGTTGGCTTAAGGCTCTCATGCCAAAATGACAGACTCTTTTGAAGCTAACAAGAGTCCTTGCATCCACATCAGTCTAAGTAGGACTGGGCTCTTCTCTGGGTTTTTACCTTTTAAGAAGGGAATGATCTCAACTCCTACGAGATTCAACAGAACTGGGATCACATCTAAGTCTTTAACTTAAAACAGGCAACAACGGCTCTGAATTGCAAAAATGCAGACTGAGTAAGCAACAAGGGCAGAAGGAGGTTGGCCTAAGTGGGCTGGGATTTTCACGGCTTTCTTGGTTCAGCTAGGTTTGGTTTTGCCACTGAATTAAATGGAAACTGGGTCAGGACCTAACTGTAGCATGACACATTGCCCTCTGCAGTAATTATTGGCCAGTGTTGACTTTGTAATGTAGGACACTACAGACTGACAATTTGCAAATACTGGAAAATATAAGAATTTCACAATAGGTCACATTTCACAGGGAATATTCTTGGCAAAAACAGGCATGATAAACTTAGCTAAGCATTTACACCAGACTTTGGTATGTAAGTGAGGCACTATATCTACTAGACAGAAGAACAGGGCATCTGTCACAACAATTTAGCAATTATCAATGGAAAGCAGAGAACAACGGAAATAATTAGTCAAGTCTGAGTTTTACCATTTGGTCCTTCTACCGTATGCTTTTGATTTTTATTTGAATAGTTTGTTTCTCTGTAGCAATTTGAGTAAACGAACAGAAGATATCTGGTTTTCAGAAAATAGTTGTACAACTGCTGTTTTTTCCCAGATACCTCCAGTTAGGGAGGACTCACACACAGGCCCCTTACCTTGCTTGAAAGACTCTGCCAAATGCTCCTTCCCCAATATCTCTCACATATTCAATATTGTTTCGTGGATACTCCAGGCTGAGTAACTTTGGATTGAGGAGAAGGGGCATCCGCTGGTACATAGGGTTGGGGTGCAGCCTGTCCAAGAGGAGTTCAGAGGGCAGTGTGGTGAGCGTCGGCGTTTCTGACTCCCTGAAACGATGGAGAAGTTGTTAGGTGAGTGTGCACGCACTCCTCTGCCAGGGGACAGCCGTTGGCATCTCCTCTGGTGATGGCGTCTTCCAGAATGGAAAAAGGAGGTGCAGTGGGGCTGCTGGCAAAGGCTCACCGCAGGGTCTCACACTACTCCCTCAAAATAGCCGCCAGGTCAAGTTCTGCTCTGATACAGGAGCAACATGGACTTGTGAGAGCTTGCTCTGGCATTGCAACAGATGAAAGGAGGGCTGCTCACCTGACCGAAAGCTATCTGGACTATGCTCTCAGTCAGTAGTCTGGGCTTGCCAGCAAGCCCCGTTTCAAAATAGAATTTGTGGCCTGGAATTAAGTCCTGACCCTTACCTCTTTTTGTTTTTCCATTGCTTTCGCCGACGGCAGCAAACTAGGGTGACAATAGCAAGGATCACTATCAGGGCAAAGCTGGAGATGATCGAAATGATAACAGTCATGGAGTAGGTAGGGGAAAAGGGAGGAGCAGGGGGGAGATTTGGAGTCTCTCCATTGGGTTTTCTTGTTCCTAGTGATAATGATGCTGTAACGAAAACAAAATCAGAAGGTTATAACCGTTTTACTCTACAGGGCTTTCCCTAAAGAAGTACTTAATGGAATCAGATTGTTGTCCTGGGATTACTGTGGTATGAGAGATACAACGATATGACTTCACAAGAGGATCATACTGGGAGGGGGCTAGATTTAAAGGAAGCAAAATCCCTGCTTGCCTGCCAAACACGAACATACAGGATCTGGTAATAACCAAGACACAATTCCCAAGACAAGGGTTTCATCCCCACAATTTAATAATGAATCAGACGGACAGTGAGAATTACAAGTGCGAGATCACTCGAAGGTCTCAAAAAGTGTTCAGATACAATAACGTCTGCATGGGAAAGGATCAAAGATCCACACTGCACAGTATCATGCATCCCACAAGGAATGTGCAGCAAAGATTGTGAGAGAAAGGTAAGTCCATAGGGATAATATCCTAGAATACTCCCATGCCTCCATCAGTTTGCACCTGAATGCCTTCATGGGCATGGTCTAACTGTGGCAAATTACTGTGAAATAGTATATTTGACTGTATCTCTAGAAAAAAACATCTGTTGAGCATTTTCTGACTCATCCTAGAAACTGCTAATTTGTATTTGCAATCATTGAGAATAGAAAGAAATTTAATTAAATTATTCTTTTTTAAGGCTTGCTAAACTGGTACTAACTTGTGTTCCCTTAAGCCCACAACACCTCTTTTCTCTGTCCAAGTGGAATCGTCTTACTTCCAAATCTTGAGATCTTAAAATTACATATTTTAATGTAATATGTTTTGAAACAACTGCTTTTTGAACGAGAGATAATAGAAAGGCTTAGTTTCAACACCACGAAAAGAAAATGTTTCCATCTTTTTCAGATTTTTTTTTTAGTTAGGATTTGTTTTTACTGAGACAAATCATCAAAAGCAAGACAAATTTGCAAAATATTTCAGGTGCCTTAAACCTTGCCTTTTCCTTAAAACACAGTTGTGGTCAATTCATTTCTCACAGTGCAAAATGCACAGCAAATTTGAATTGATCCTTGGGCCTTAATGTAATCAGGGATAAGTTACTCCATTTCTCTATCTTCCTTTTCCCATCTGTAAAATGGGTATTATACCTCCTGATTATAGATGCTGGATGCCTTTTTTCAAAGAAATAGTATTGGTCGAATCCAGAAGTCAGAATAAATTAGTATGGTCTGGAAGGTCATGGTGTGACATGCAGGATGCCAAGACCCTACGTGGTCCCAAAACAACCACCGTGGTACAAATCATGAATTAGAGATGCTTACCATCTCCACAAGGAGACACGCTGCAGTATTCCCAGTTCACAGATGGGTCTTTTGTATAACACCAGGGACGTTCATTTTCACCTCCTGGATTACGGCAGTAATTCTCTGCACCAGACAGCTCAGGGAAAACTTGAGGAGTCCTCCTGTGTAAGTGAGGAACCTTGTGGGAGGAAGTAAATTGCATTAGTATCTAAGTATAATTTCTCCTGCTGATATTAAAAAAAAAAAAAAGGAACAGAGAAAGAAAGGAAGAAGCACAACAGCCTTGCAGTAGCTTGCAAGAATCCTGAGAACGCATCTTGCAATGAGAAGAGGCAACTGGCAGTTTGAACTATGGAGACTGCGTGAAACATCAGTTAACGTAAGAATGAAGGCAGCCTGTCCTTAACCCAGTCCTGTCAACGGGACAGGACTGCCTGCCTCTGGGAAGCTCTTTGGAAAAGCAGACCTTGAGCACAGTTTTGCTTTTGGTAGGTCACACATTGTTGCGCACCTGGTCGCTCCACTTCTGGCAGGGGATGCCGGAGGCCGTAACATTGGCCCAACCCTGGTAGAACCGGCCATTGCCGTTGTAGCAAGTCCCTGGGGAGAAACAACATGAGGACAAGGCACCTGAGAACTCATCTTGCAGCAGACTCACAAGTGTAAATGTCATGTCATCACATGAGAACAAGTGACAATTAGCAGCAGATTTGACATGCATAAAAGACAACAGCGGTCAAGAGCCTGTCTAGCCTCTGCTCACCCTTAAATGATTCTTAGTTCTTTACCTAACATTAAATCTGACAAAAACTCCAAAGAGAGAAGCAGAGCTCTTGCAAATTGAGTAAGTGAGATGTGTGCCTGTGATAGCCACTGCATCTATCCAGTTCACTGTGCTTTCATGCACAAAACGCAGCACAAAACCACATTTAACGCAACCAGTGCCAAAGCAAGCCAGAGACAGTAGGCATATCGCAACATTAATTTCATGATTTACATCCTGCACCTTTACAGGACAGTAGCAAGACTCTATCTACACTCCTGGTGTAGGTAGAAGAGGGTAGGGATTAATTAGGTCCTATTACAGAATCACAGAATCACAGAATGGTTGAGGTTGGAAGGGACCTCTGGAGATCGTCTAGTCCAACCCCCCTGCTCAAGCAGGGGCCTCTAGAGCACATTGCCCAGGATCACATCCAGACGGGTTTGGAATATCTCCAGGGAAGGAGACTCCACAGCCTCTCTGGGCAACCTGCTCCAGTGCTCTGTCACCCTCACAGTGAAGAAGTTTTTTCTCAGGTTCAGGTGGAACTTCCTGTGGTTCAGTTTGTGCCCGTTGCCTCTTGTCCTGTCGCTGGGCACCACGGAGAAGAGACTGGCCTCATCGTCTTGACACTCCCCCTTCAGATACTTGTACACATTGATGAGATCGCCTCTCAATCTTCTCTTCTCCAGGCTGAAGAGGCCCAGCTCTTGCAGTCTTTCTTCCGAGGAGAGGTGCTCCAGCCCTGTAATCATCTTGGTAGCCCTCCGCTGGACTCTCTCCAGTAGTGCCATGTCTCTCTTGTACTGGGGAGCCCAGCACTGGACACAGGATATTGTGATATCCCTGTACAGCACTTGTCTTTGTAGCTTGAATATTTAGAGACAGATTATGTTTTTTGGCAAGTATGGAAAAAACACTGAAGGGAATTACAACTCTGAAGGGATAGTATTAGCGTAAAATAATGCTATTTATAATAAAGGATGTTCACATAGTTCACATTCCATATCCAAAGCTTACTCAGGCTGCAAAAAAAGCAAGCAGGAAATTTTGAGAGGATTTTTATTGCAAGAATACGCTCCCAAGACAAAAACATAGGCATGACCTACCCTTATAGCAGAGTTTAATGCACACTGGCAAAATTTAGGCAGCAGGAGCGACAATAGAGGAGATACAGTCTCGCACTTTAACATATGCTAATAAATCTTAGGGAAATTCTGCTGATCATGGGCTAACATTCTGACTGTTGTCATGCATTACATTCCATACATTCAATGCTGTATTATTAACCTTGTTAGACAAATTAGTAAGCCAGCAAGCAGAGTCACATAACTTTTTGTGCACTGTATATGTATCCTTAAACTTGCAGCTCAGAAAATGGAAAACAGGAGGGTATCTGTTTTATTTCAAATTACAGTTTTGAATTTGAAGCACATCTTTTAGTCTCCAGAAAAAATTTGTCTAAGGCTTGATCCAAGTTTGAGATGTGCGTGCACTTTATTTTATCTGAGCAGATTGTACAGTTTCTTCTATAGGAGGGACATAGTTTATTTATTTTTTGTAGGGCTGCTGTTGTAATGAGATGCCTGTTTAGAGTAGCTGAGCATTCCTTTAAGGACCAGTGTAAAAGGTGATGCTAGAATAAATCAAAATGCAGTAGGATCACTGTCTGCTCTTTTCATCTTGCAACATTCACTGCATTCATTACTGCAGTTACAGGTCTTTTACAGATCCATAGCTTTCTGAATTTCCATCAGGCCCAGGCACTACCCATGAGTACACAGAAACATCACCATGATGATGTCTCCACCGTGGGAGCGAGCTCAAACACAGGATCATGTCCTTGTAGTCCAACAAGTGGAAGCACCTTCGTCTAGGAGTAACAGCGAATACCATGAGCACGCTTAGCCCTTCACAAAAGCAAGGTGAAATGCATTAACTTGAGTTGCTCTGACTGATATTTAAGCTACTCTGTTATACCTCATACACGCAACAAGCTAATAGCACACATGCGGCCAGTAACTTTAGCTCTCAAGAGCTTGTTAGGCTACCCTAAAACACTTGTGTCTGCGCCAAGCATTTTAAATGTCTCCCACTCAAAGGCAAGGAGATCAATACGTGAAACTTGTCTCTTCACTGAGCTAGTAGCAAATATGGAAAAACCTTGCATTATGATCATGAATTCTGATCTGGTGCTTCTGCCACACGTCTGAAACAAACATCATTGCAACATCTTTGAGGAGCAATGTGGAGGGCTTTAGGGGCAAAAGCCACCAGAAAAGCATCCCTGAGTCCGCAGAGGACAGGGAAATGCAGATGCTTTCATATGGGTGCTTGCTACAGTGAGGAGAAAGTGAGTAATACAGATTCTTTAACTGGGCTTTAATGAATAATTTCAATGTGCAAGCTAGAAAACAACTCACTCTTGTGCCCCAAAGCTTTGTGCACCTAGCAATGGTTGTAAAGTAAAACAGAAGGGAGAAGAATCATTAAAATATTATTATGTCCGTCTGGTTCATCTCTGAGCAGTATATATCTGTGAAATGCCACCCTGAGAACTTACTGTTAAAGCTGAGCAAAAAGGTTGCACATTTGCATGGCACTTAGAAGCGAACATCCAAGAAGAGGTTATAACTGTTTCAGGAAAGTACCATTCACATGCCAGTATCCCTCCTTTGTGCTTTCTCCCCAGGGAGAGGACTAACTACTGCTGTAGGCTTTTAACAGTGGGACGGTTGGGCTAGTGAGGCTGGAGCATCTGCAGAACGTTAAAACACTGGTCTCTGATGTGTACAATGGAGGGTGCCTGGGGTTTGGGCAATGGGTTGAGTGTGGCAGACAAGCCTTGAAGGATAGAGGCTTCTCATAAAACAACATTCTCAAAAATTTTCAGTTTTACCTTCTTCATATTTTCTTGCTGCATAGACGGTACCTAATGCTGTAGAATCTCAAGAAATTCCTCGCTCAAAAACATACCAGAAGAGAGCTACTGTTCTTCATTTTTTTGAAATGACAAATTCAGTGGTCAAGTTTTAAACTGCAGTTATGTACCTGACTGAAAAGCTGAATGTGCACACTTCAGCCAATGCCAAAGACAGGCCCTTGCAGTATGTTAGATCAAATTATTAATAAAATGATAAAACTGCAAAAGCAAAATAAGCAAGTCTTTAATGTGAAAAGCCTTCAGTATAGGCAGTCCTTGTGCATTCAGCAAAACGACAAATTCACACGGGTAACTTCATGATCATTTCAAGGTCTGAAATTGGCTTTGTTCTGTCCCCAGGCTCTCTAGTTCAGATGGTTTGCATTTGGGCTGCCAGCGGGTGACGAGGTCCTGGCCAGAAGTTTATCTTTGTGAACAGGACATGGAAGACTACAGGATCTGACATCAGAAATTGCCAGACATGAGCAGTAACAATGTGAGAAGCTGAGAAAAGTCACAGACAGTGCTGTGAGGCATGGCTGGATCTCACAGGTGGTGAAAGGGGTGTCATGCGAGAAATGGCCAGAGTGCAGAGATAACTGGAGTATAGTGCTGGGGCCTTTGGGGGAATACAGTCTTCCAAGGCCAGCAGCACCTGCATAACAGTATATTATATATTCGGTAAGAGCACACAAAACTGAAATGACCAAGGTAGCAGTATCAAAAACACCAACTGTGGATACAGCAACACTAGAACCAGTGGGTGGAAAGATGGGAGAACAGCCAAGGGGTAGCACGTAAAAACATCGTTCCTCCATAACTGCCTTCAACAGTTACTGGGCTACATTTTCCCCAAACACTGGAGAGCCTTAGATGGGAAAGCTCAGGCATCCTCTTGTGAAAAGCTGAATCCAGCCAGCCAGTCCCAGAGCAAAACACTACCAACGTTAGCAATATTGCACCTGAAACAAAAATATCAGACCCACGCTCTAGATCTATCATCCAAAGTAGCCTACTTACTGGTTATATTCTCCTTCTTAAAATCTGTGAAAAGAAAAGGTAAGATGTAAGGAGGTGTCGTCCAGAAGGTCATAACTGAGCGCTTGTTTAAGGAGCACGGAAGCAGGGAAAAGTTCCCCGCCAGGGGAGCCCCAGCGGCTCGGGTCTTTGCAATGGCGCCCAGACAGCCAACTTGCCATTGCTATAACTGGTTTTGGCAATGAGGATGTTATGACCCCAGCTTCTCTGAAGTACAGAGCCAGGTTTAGAAGGGAATTTTGAGGGGTATTTTTCCCAGATCCTATTTGAATCAGATAGGCAAACAGCGGATGCTGCTGTTGCGGCGTAACACGCAGATGTTGGCAGGATGGCGTTTGCTTTGCACACCTCTTCCAGCCATAACAACCGCTACTGAGGAATGTGTCAGCTTTTACTTCAGTTGTAAATTTCACCCTTCACAGTCGTTGTCTTCCGAATTAGAAGGCACAAGCATATCCCAGCACAAATGCAGGCCTGACTCACGCCCCTCGGATCCCAAATAAAATCCGTCACGTCTCTTCTTCCCTTGACAGCCTTGGTGAGCTGCATCTCCCCTGACAAGGACTCCCCAGGCAGCTCCTACTCCCAGAGGAGGGATCCCCCCCCAGGATTCATCCAGGGACCCCTGCAGCCTCCTGCTGCACCAGGGCTTTCCCCTGGTTGTGGGTGGATGCAAGGGGGAGGAGGGAGAGGTGCCCCGAGCTGCGGGGCTCACCCAAGCGGGGCAACAAGTGGGGACACGGCTGCCGCAGCGCCGGCCCACACCAAGG